GCCTGATTTGTTACTAGATAAATTGTTGTTAAGATTGCTTTCCAACAGGCTATGGAGACAGAAATATAGAAAGTAAGCCCACTTCCAAAACTGACCATGGGATCTTTTTGGCTACCTTAGGTTATAGGCCAGTAGGCTGGGAAAGAAAAGAAATGATTGGACACTCAAGGTTGTACGGAATGGGGCCCTCAGAAATGGGTATGCTTATCCTTGTCTGTCACCACAGAATCATTTAGTATGAATACATCATTGGGAATATGTTTTTGGGACAAATTGGAAAATAAGACTCGTGTCTTGTATAATGGATAATATATATGTGTTATGTCCTGGGAAAATGTATTTTGGGAAGATGGAAGTATCAGCCAGCCACCAGTGGAGGAATGTAGATGTATTGCCAGCGAGCTATATATTAACAATTACACTTACTCTTTACTAAAGATTAAAAGGGCACTTGTACTATAATTGTCACTTTGGCTAATTTCTCTGTTCCCCTTGGCCTGGATTGGCATGATTTAACTGATCATTTACTAAAAGGAACAAAGGTTATGCAGTTTTTACAACAGACACAGAAGGATATAGGGCCACATGATTTAGTTCGGATTGGTCCTGTCTAGAGCACGGGGCTGGACTTGATGACCTTCTGAGGTCTCTTCCAGCTCTATTGTTCTATGATTCTGTGTCATTCATATATTAGATCCAAATGGGAATGAGTTAAGAACTGCTAAATTTGAAAAAGAAATGACATCCTATCACTGGTATGATGTTTTTATAGGCTGGTCCCCAACTTTTAAGGGCATATTATCTATCATGATTCACTCATTGCTGATTATATTAATATTATTCTGAATTTGCTTTGAAACAGTTATATAAAGTGTGACCCACTCAAGGGCTACGTCTACATTGGCATGATTTTCCGGAAATGCTTTTAACGGAAAAGTTTTCCATTAAAAGCATTTTCAGAAAAGCGCGTCTAGATTGACAGGATGCTTTTCCGCAAAAGCACTTTTTGCGGAAAAGCGTCCGTGGCCAATCTAGACGCGCTTTTCCGCAAAAAAGCACCGATCGCCATTTTCGCGATCGGGGCTTTTTTGCGGAAAACAAATCTCTGCTGTCTACACTGGCCCTTTTGTGCAAAAGTTTTTCGGAAAAAGACTTTTGCCCGAATGGGAGCAGCATAGTATTTCTGCAAAAGCACTGACAATCTTGTATGAGATTGTCAGTGCTTTTGCGGAAATTCAAGCGGCCAGTGTAGACAGCTGGCAAATTTTTCCGCAAAAGCAGATGATTTTGCGGAAAAACTTGCCAGTCTAGACACAGCCCAGAAGTATTTTTGAGAGGTCAAAAGGGGGATAATGTAGCCATGCAGCTAAAATGTACCTGCATGCAATGTAATGTCACTCAATGTACCTTACCAGCCAACAGCCTAGTGCTGTTGGTAAAAAAGCATTAAGCAATCTGTGTTTGTTATTAATGTTAAAGCAGGAATAGACCAAAAGGATCTATTTGTCACTATTGTCACTCTTTTACCATTCAGATTGTTTCTTCTTTAATTTAAGAGTGTAAGAATGGTTTTTGTACTGGATCTGTTTTTACAGAAGCAACTATGTAATTTTTTGTGTACAGAATGAGGAATGTGTGTTAGAGGATAAGTGTGAAGGCATGCACTGGACCAGATGTCCTAGGGAAGAGCCGAGGACAGACATAAAGGTGTCAGGAGATTGCTGTATATCCCTAAAAAGGTCCTGTGTGTTTCTTACAAGCATTACATAGCATCACTGTTAGTCAGACTACCCTCAACCCTTTTTATGGACCTCCCACAGTCCCAATAAAAATACAGCACAAGATTGGCCTGGTTTTAATTGTTTTTGTGGTCATTATCAGGCCCTAAAATGCCAACCTTTGAACATAGTAATACAATTTTTGTATGGATAACATAAGCCATATCATTTCTTGCAGATCAATCATACTAAATAACTCTCTTTTCTTAAGTTGATAACAATCTTTGTTCTCAATATTTCTCAAGCTTTGTTGCAGTCCTAACTAGTAATATAATCACCATCCAGAGAAAACACTCCTTTCCCCTTTTTATATCTGGTTAGAATTCTTGCCTACATTATTTTGGTAGGATAATTCTGTATTACTGGGTGTCACTCACACTACCATGCCTGACAAATAAGACAAAATCTAAGAAAAAAACTAAATGAATGTAATTCCCTCACCACCTTGCTCTGGGTGAGGTTTTTACATACCACCACAATACTAAATCTCTCAAATGCTGTCAACTTTCAGAGTTGAGACACGGAACTCTGTCTTGAACTGAGAAAAACAACTCTCCTCAACTGAAAAAAGGGTTAGAGGAATATAAAAAGAAGAAATTCTAAATATAAAATGGACAAAGATGATAGAAGCTGAATCAGCAGATGAGATAGTAACCCACCTGGTGCAGTACCTGCATTCTTTGAGATGTCCATATTGTCATTTCCACTGCTTATTGGGATTTTAAAAGACATTTTAGGGGTAAATTAAAGATAAATAACAGCACAAAACACTGAGAACCAGGACTGGTGATTGTAAACCAGGGGTAGGGCCACTGACCCACAGAAAAATCAGTCAGGGGCCACACACAAGTGAGAAGCAAAAAACAACCCTCACTGTCATGGCCCCCAACTGAGAAGAAAGACACTTCTCACATTCCCCTTGTACACCAGAGCTTGGAGGGCCCAGGCTAGTAGATTTTGTGTGCTCCAGCCCTGTGGTGGGACTGTGGGGGTGGGG